CAATGGCCTCAGCAAGGTTGAAAACAAGTGCTGTTGCGATACCCATACCCACTCTAAGGGAGCACGCTGCAGCAAGCAATGGTGTTCTTGGCGACCGTTGCACCTGCAGTTCCCACGCTGGTTACCACTGACAGGTGTTTCAAGCTTGAAACTGTCCCATGCCTCCCATGCCGGCAAGCAAAAACTCGATCAAGCGGCGGTGGCTCGGCTCGTGAGCACGATGCGCTCCAGGATATCCTACGTTGGAGCGTAGGACGGTTTGCAAAGCTCACGGATGTTGTGGGTGAACTCACCACCTATTTGGCCACGGTGAGCGAATTGGACGCAGCTGGAAAGCAGAGGGTCGAAGATATGCTCAAGAAGCTGCGTGAGATGTCCAATGCAGTGGTGGGCCTTGGTGCATCCCACAGGTTTGTGGCGGATGAGACGGCCCGCGATCAGAAGACGGAATTGAAACATTTGGAAAACCTGGTTTGGCAGGTTAGCGGATCAGGAAAAGGAGTGAACACGTCACTGAAGGAGTTAGTGACTGGAGTGGGACGTGTTTTGGGACAGATAGATGGCCAATTGTCCCGAAACGCCAAGACCATGGAGGAGAACGGCAAGCATGTGGCCGCGGTGGTGGAGAAACTTGTGAAGATCGAGACCGGAATCCAGGCCTTAGTTCAGAAGGCTACCTTCAGTCGGAGTGGCAGTGGAGGAACTCCAGCGACTGAATCCGGTGAAGAATGCGTTTCCTCCACCCCCTCCACATCTTGGGCAAACTACTCCAGTGGCGCCAGTACTGCCAACAGTGCCTGGTTGCAAGGCACTCACCGCCACACTGCAAAGCTTGAGCTTGTTTATAATCTGCTCAATCTCGGGATCAGCCATACTGGGCACAAAGAGTCATTCCAGTCTCTCCCCGTTGGCCTCCTCCCGCCGGGCAGCTTTCTCGCAGGAGATGACGTTTGCTGCCAATTGAGCCATTGAAACACAGGAAGCGCTTCGACCCGTCGGCCACCTGAGGAGGACTCTGACTCTGCCGAATCAGACTGGCAATGACTCCTCTCACAGGCGCTAATGGCCGAGTTGTAGGCGAACGCCTGCAGGTCGCGAAAAAGTCAGCGCCGAGCGTAGCAAATCTGCAAGCCTTCGCGCTCCGCATCCTGAAGCATCTGAGTGTCCGGACATTTGGCTTGACCCTGTATAAGCAGAGAAAGGGCCGCCTGCCATCGACCTGCCTTGCCATCGGCCATTGCCCACGCAGTGCAAGAATGGAACGAAAAACACTCAATAATGACACACCTAGCAGCCTCAAGCCTTTACAGTTGCAGAGGCCTGGTGCACAGTGACTTCCAAGCAGCTCCTGGACGCGATCATCACAATCCTCCGTATCTGGATACAACTCTATGAACCAGCAAGAAGCTACTAGCAACAAGGGCATCGCTATTGCGTAGCAACAAGCAGCTGCTAGTAGCTAGCAATAAATTGGGCACCAGGCCTCAACATTTCGCTCAAGAAGGCAATCGCGAGGGTCCACTGAGCGGCTTTGGCCAAAGTCGCGACGCCTCAAATAGCGCCGGACAGTTCTACGAACCGATACTCTCAGATCTCTAAGGCCTCGTAGCGTAGAAATGCATAGCAAGTGTTTCCTAATTTAGTTCTTTTTTACACCCGAGGCCTTTTTGAAGTTGTTCTTGCAAAGACAAAGAATAAGTTTCTCTTCTACGCTCTTCCTATGCGTCCTTCTTTCGTCCCCACTTAATTAACCACGCGCACCTGTTTTGGCAAGACCAAGTCGGTCCCTAGAGCACGTGCATCAGCTACCCTGGGCTTGAAAAGGAGTCTCAACGCCGGCGTCGACAGAACTTCAAGGACGATGAAGGAGGTTATCGTTGTTCAACTTCAAAAGAATCATAATGTTCGGAAAGGTGAATGAAGAGACTTGGTGCGACTTCCAGAATCTAAAATGTTCAGATGCGCCACTCCTTATTGCTATTGTTGTTGCCGTCAGCAAGAAGAAAACTCGCCTCGTCATACTCCTGGATCCATCTCTGGTCAACTTTCGCTCGATATCTTTGCCTCAGAAGAACGAAATTGAAACGGGCCTCTTGTGTACAACACAGATGTCGGAAAGAAAATTCTCACCTGTCGCAGAATGCGTTTACAACTTACACAACAAAGGCCTCACTGTCACATCATTTGCCACACACGAGCCTGTCGCCAACACCACCAGGCTCCGCTCCTTTTCAAGCATCCTTCCCCCGACTGCACTAGTGTTCAATGTACCTACAAACTTCAAGACTCTTCATGCAAATCTGCGATGAAGGCGCAATCAGTTAGCCAAATTCATCACTGGCAGCAACCGAGAGCGGTGAGTCATAACATCCACTCTGACATGTTCTTCCTGTTCAAATGAGTTTAGAGCTACACACACGGTCCGAGGTCGTCTTTTCCAAGAATGAGAATCGTAGTGCTCGCTGTGAAAAAGCTAAAGAGATGCAAGGCCGAAGCTAGGCCATTCCTGCTTGTCCTCCGGCCGAGAATCAAAAGGAATCTAAGCCTAAGCATTAAGCATAATTCTGCCTAAATGTATGACATTCATGGTTCAACCTGGCTACAACCGTGCTCTCCAAGAAAAAAACTCATCTCAGCACGCAGGCAACCCGCGGCTGTGAAGTCGAACCTCACATCGATTACTGTGGTTCTTTAACCCCAATCCAAAACTCAAATGAAAATACATAATGGAAAGCATTTCTGGGTAAATGTCCGGTTGACTTGTTGAGGCAAGAACGTGGGACATTATTCTGGGCTATCCTAGAGTTTGCAATCGGGCAGTCTGTACATGTCACATGGTGAGAACACCAATCGGTCACCAATCGATCACCGATTAGAAAAAGCAAGTGCGGCGGTGACGTGCGGTCGGCGGCACCAAAGGCACCTGACACATCTGAAGACAGGCTTTCACTTTCGAACCGCACGGTTTGTAACAGGAGGCGAAAACAACGAAACCATCTGGCGGTAGCCAAAACTTGAAGCCTCATCAAAACGATTAAGTTGACGTTCTGTGCACCTCAGCCCTCTTGCACACCACTTGTTCTGCGCAAAGTCCAGGGCCTTTCTGATCTTGCTGCTCTATGAGTGTTTCAACAAGGATGACGCAAGCAGTAGGAGCAGCCTAAAGATGCGCATGTGTTCCACCACTAAGGAGGACTGTTCCTTTGACAAAGTTTGGTCGGACAGTTCGCGCCTGGGCTGCATCCGCTACCATTGCGCGTAGTCAAACAGTCAGATCATCCTGGAAGGCCAATGACATCAACACCCTGCGCAGTGTAAGTTGTTGCGCTTCCTCTTCATTGCTGGCTTCTCTGTGGTCAGACTCGTCCATGGCTAGAACCGGGGCAGCCAAAGCACTCAGGCGCAGCAGCTCCTGTCCCGAGGCTCACACTGAGACCCTGTGAGCTTTTGACAATACAGCATAGCTATACAGACAACCTCCTAGCAATGGCCTCCAACCGAATAGCAATGGCCTCCAACCTACTACTAGCGATGGCATCCAAAAATACGGCGCGGCTTCATTTAGACTTCTACAATATCCAGTGGCAACAGTTTACGCAAGCAAAACTACGTGACAGAAAATGGATCTCCTTCTGGCAGACTTCAACATCCGTCGCTTGATCGTTGATGTCATCATGAATGAGTTCTTGCTCAAGTTGGTGCAATACCTCAGCTCTCATCACACAGATCTCTTGCACGACAGCTCCTTTTTCTCACCACCTCCTTTGCGTGGCCAAGGAGCTTCATTTGCTCTGGCCAGCTCCTCTCGCAACGCCGCATTCTCAGCCTTTAGCGTTTCAGCGTTCAATCTCCCCGAAGGCCCATCACTTGGAGGCTTGATGGGCTTTGGGCAGCTCGTTGCTCGAGCCGATCCTACCGCCAAAGGCCTTTCGAGTTCTGCCGGCGCCGGAGAGCATAGCCATAGCTTGGGTCGCTCTTCGCCGGCGCAAAAGCACCACCTTTGACGCGTGGATTGGAGAAGCTGCGCACGGATGACCGGGAGCCTGTCAACGGAGTCGCTTGGTGACCTAGCCATTGAATGAACTGACCTCGAGAACTGCCACCACTGGGGCTTGATCGCACATTGGCTGTGCGCTTTGGTTGTGGAGCGAGACCATCGCGCACCAAGGCGATGGCGCGAGACCTCGGCGTCGGCGCCGAGTAGGACAGAGCCGGTTCGGAGCGAGAGTGCGCCGTGTGGCACCGAACAGGCTCCGCGAGACCGGATTCTCGCGAAGGGCTTTGGCCCCGTGGCGCCACCGGGATTGCTGCGTGGATTCCATCGCGATCGTGTGGGCAGTGGGTGGACCTGTGTCTGGCGGCCAAGCCGAGTTCCGAAGCAAAGCCGAAACTGGACGAGTCGCCATAGCTTCGCTCTGTCGGAAAGCTGGGCGAATCGTCACTGCTGTGTGGCGCTGTGCAGAACTGTGGGTGATCTGCTAGACTCGCTAGACCAATTCTATCAACAAAAAACTTCGGGGAGTCATGGAATATAGACTACATTCTGCTATTAGTATCGGATGTAGGCTGTAAGTCAATGAATGTTGGCATGGTCTTCTCTCGTTCGAAAGTCTTGAGCAGACTTGGCTGGGTCAAGAATCACAAGACCGATACCATCAGCGGTGGAAAACGCACAGTCCGCGCCTGACCATCCAAGAACCCATTGAGACGGCTTCAGTGATTCAGACTTCCTTTCTTGCGTTGTCGATACCTCTAATATTGATCAAGAAGGTCACCGTGTCTTGAAAATAGAGTTCCCAGTAAATGTGTTGACTTGGCGGGAGTGTTTTGACGGTGTTTTGCTGTGTGCAACATACTCTGTGGCGTTGAATCAACAAACTTGGACATTGTGAGTCACGGGCATCCTCTAAATTGATGCCAGCGCTTGAAAAGCCAAAATCAGGGCAAAACAGGACTTGATGAGATTCTGCTGACTGATATCTGTCTTCTCCAAGCAGTGCCTGAGTAGCACCGACAAGGCAAGCTCGCGTGACAAAAGGCATGCTGCCACGCCAAAAGGCAGTGACCTAGGTTGCAACATGCGTAACTTTTGCTAAACCCAATGTAAATGAAACTATGTGAAGAACTCCATGGCCTTTGCGCAAAGTATCCTTTTTGCTGTGTTGGTACATAAGTAGAATAAGGCTTGTGCACCTTCTTCTCGTGCGATGCGCTGGGCGCAGTCTACGACTCCCTACAAGCACAAGGGTGACGAGCGATTCTGAGCTGACCCTCAGCTGACCATGTCAGTGCCTTGTAGTTCCGTCGCAGAGATGGTTCAAGGGTAGCGTCGTTCGACAAGCGTACAAGCGAAACCTGTCGATAAGCAAGACGGAGCTTCTGCGGCTGAAAGGTGAGGATCATTGAATAAGTTGGTCTCTGAGTCTCTGGAAGGCTAAAGCCCCAAACAAAAAGCAGTCTCCAATCAACCTCGAAATTGTACAAGTGTTGAATATCTAAATTACCTTGCAGGGTGTTACATCCACTCTTCATATTTCAGGGTGGTTGCCCAGACGCCGTACCAACTGTTTTTCAGTTGTGGTGGCAGGACAAATCATCTTGGGAACCTGTCCAATCTACGAAGCTGTGGCCTCGCAAGGGCAGGAGATTAAGGCAGCAAGTCCACCAGCAGCAGTGGCCTTGATGTGAACAAACAAAAGTCCGAGAAAGCGTCCTTGTTTCTAACTAGTCAGGTCCAAGATAAAACGGCCTTTTGGCTCAGACATCTTCAAAAAGCTTGGCTCATCATCTTGCGCTGGTTGAGATCTGAGGTCCTCACACAAGACAAACGGGAAACAAAGTCCACCTGCAGCAGGATAGGATGGCCACGCCAAAAAAAAAAGAGTTCTGGCAAGAACCCACGAGTCCCTGATCAACTAACATCTGCTGCAGTGGAAGGAGTAACACACATGTCCCTCATCTGTCGGGTGAGGGATCACAAAAGAAGTAATAGCATCAATAGAAAAGTAATTGACGGGGTTCAAAAAAATGCCAAAAAAACAAGTGGGCAATGAATGGAAAAAGAGACGACCAGGAAAGGATAACAGCAGCAGAGCAATATTTTGTGTGAACATGCGATCGGCAAACCTCGCATGTTTGACCAGTGGACCAAGAGGCCAGCAGACCAACACAAGGACCAGGGACCAAAGGACTAGAGCCAGGGGACCAAAGGACGAGGGGATGAAAGGACCAGGGACCAAAGGAGCAAGGCCGAAGGACCAGGGGACCAATGGACCAGGTTTATGTAAGGCTTTATGTCGCGCTCTAGTTGTCCTGAGATGCGGGGCTGTCAGGTTTTCGCCCGACTCACATTGCTCTGTGCTGTGCACTCCCTCTGTCGAATCTTTGTCACAAGCATTCATGGACCAGTCAGGCCTAGCCAAAAAAAACATCAAAAAAACGTGTCAGCCACTCCGTCGAGGGGCTGCTCGGGGAATTCAATGAATGGCAATCAGTGCAGGTTCAGGTGGCCCAATTTCAAAGGGAGGGTCACCAAACCTGTCAAAATCATAATCGCCAAACCGTCATGACCAGGATGGTTCCATACAAAAAAAGGTCATCTTGCGTTCATATGGTTGTTGTTGCCCTCCCTCTCTCTCTCTCAGCTAAAAGAACCCATGCGTTTTGAGAGGTTGAAAAAACGCAATTGGGACATGGAAGGGTGAACTTGGAGCCAGTAGCCCAAATGCGTTTTTTTGAGGTTGAAGAAGTGCACTTGGAAAGGTTCGTGGCACCATCAAAAAAACAAAACCAAGGACCATGGATTGGGTCCTGCAGTCGTGCTGTGATTGCTGCCTCTACTTGGTGTAACGAACACAAGGCAGAGTGGACTTCCTAGTAAACAGCCCCGATGCAATGTCGGCAAAGTAAAAAAAAAACATGTGGGACATGGGAGGATGAACTTGGAGCCAGCAGCCCAATTGCTCTTTTGAGGTTGAAACAACGCAGGCTGTGATTGTATGACACAACACTTGGAACCAAAGGGCCTGCCTGGGTGATCAACACCAGTTTCTTCTGGCACTCTACTACCAAAAACCCATTCCCAAATGCCTTCGTTCAAAAAAAAATCTTCCCGCACCGAAGGTGCTGAGGCGTTGTGTAGGCTTCGCACAAGCCGCAAGATATATAGCTGCTGGTTTCATCTTGGGAGGGGCCCTTTTCATTTTGGCAAATGGTGTGCTTTTGATGGCTTTTTGAGGCTTTTGAAGAATGACAAAAAATGATATCTGATTGTCCGTGTGGCTTCCTCCGTGTGTCTTGCCCGACGGAGACAGATAGACTGACAGACCGAGACAGACACACCGAGACAGACAGACAGACAGAGACAGAGACAGAGACAGACAGAGACAGACAGACCCAGACAGACCCAGACAGACCCAGACAGACAGAGACAGACAGAGACAGACCAGACCCAGACAGACCCAGACAGATCTAGACCCAGACAGACCCAGAGACAGACACAGAGAGACAGACCAGCCAGCCAGCCAGCCAGCCAGCCAGCCAGCCAGGCAGGCAGGCAGACAGACAGACAGACACCCAGACTGACCGAGATCGTGCGTTCTTCCGTGTGTCCTGCCCGACCAAGACAGGCAGACTGACCGAGACAAACAGACGCACACACTCCGTGCGGGCGGCTTCGAGCGCGAAGCGCTGTGAATAGTCGCATCAGGGTGTCTCTACAAAACAAAGTGCCGCGACGCAAGTTCTGAGTGCCAGCACGCACAGGCACGAGTGCCGCAACGCGAGTGATGAGCCAACTCAGCTCCGGTCAAAGACTAACTTAGCAAAATAATCAATTCGTGTGTCGTTTTTTGCTTTCTTGTGTCGGCCGGCGGCTCAGTATGCGTTGGCCGGCGGCTCATCACGTGTTGTTTGACTCGGGAACCTGTTGGCTGACTCGCGCGTCGCTGTTGGCTGACTCACGCCTCTGTGTTTTCTGACTCGTGTTTGTCTGACTCGGGGGGCTGTTGGCTGACACCGTCTTCGCTCTGCTCATTTTCTCTTTTGATCTAGATGCCTCTGTGATCGGCCAATTTGAAACAATGCACAGAGTCAGTGGTAGAGCACTTTGTTTCTATCCTGATCTGGTAGGAGATTTGCCAATGCACCACTCTGATTAAGCTCTGACTGTGACTAAACAAATCCAGTATATAAGGCCCGACAGCCAAGAATAAGTTTGACAAAAACAAGCGGCAGTCCTTTTCTGCAGCTACGAATAGTTCCCACCCCGCCTCTCTATGCTTTGCAAGCGTGTCTCTGAAGACTTGGAACCTAAGCAGCTCCGCACGCCCGAGCCACAAATGGAACCAAGTCACTCAGGCTGACAACAGCCCCAACATGTCATGGCTTGTTGCTCAGGGCCCAGCAAACCGTATCTGCTGCTGGCATAGAAGATCTGAAGGAAGGGAAATCACAGGCGAATGAAATGCAAAGAACAACCCTGCGTACGCTGTGGTCAAGCTGTCAGGCCTGTCTCCAAATACCTGCTCCAAGGCCATCATAAAGACCCATGATACCGGTCTGCAGAAGAGCGAGCGGCCAGCATGACTGCTTGCCAAACCGTAGTCACTACTATGTGGTGTATGCAGTTCATGCGAGGCATAGCAGGTGTGTTTAAAGTACTGACGTTCTTACACATTCTCTTGGCGAATGTTGTGGCTTGCACTTTTGCAAGATTCCTTTCTTCCATCCAATATGATCCAGACCATGGACTGCTTCTGTTCGTACAGTACCTCTTTTGTTCATCTGACAACAGGTCATCACTGTTTCACGTCAACAATCAACTTCAGCCTTTCTTGAGGCACTGGGGCATCCACGCTCTTCACCGTCTGAGCCGCAAAAGAGAAGAAGTTCAGCTTTGCACCCGGATTCTCAGCACACACGGCGTATTTGAGTCATCGAGCACCCAATAACAAGGAGCACTGCCAAGGCTGCTAATAAATACTGTATCCTTCTAATTGATTTGAACAACTCAAACTTTTCCAGATCATTTGAGATCTGTGTTCATCAGCAAGCAAAATACTCAAAAATTACTCGCGCTCTCGCACTCTCTCTCTCTCTCTCTCTCTCTGTCTGGCCTGCATGCTCGCAAGATTCATCCGAATGGCCAAAGTATTGACCTGAAATCATTGAGCACCTATTAATTCATCAGGCGTCTCAACTCTCAAATAAGGATCGAAGGAGCAATTCATTGTTCCGGTTACATATTCGCAGTCAGGCAGCTGGGTGAATGAAAATCCATCCAAAAATGCCTCCAACCTCGGCAAAGACAGGCATCAAGACAGTCCAACCCACGTCATTCCGTTCCTAAGGCTGTGGCACCCGAGGTGCTGAAGGCCACCCAGCCTCCGGTGAACGCTCTACTTTTGGGAGTGGTCGCCCTCTACAAAGCAAACGGTGTCCAAAGCTGCTGAGCCCGCCTGGAAGAGGTTTGGACGCCATCTCTGGCGAGAACAACAGCTGCAGAAAGGCAAGGGTGGACGCAATAAGTTGCCTAGAACATGCTTAAAGAGAATATGTGCAATATTGACTATATATTGAGTTCTTTTCAGTACTTGGAGGCCCTCTCTTGTCAAGATCATGGGGCCAGGTTTACACGGCGTCGGTGTGTCATACAATCCATTGCATATCAACTATGTTCCATCATGCGAAACCCACCCCAATCACGGCAATCTGATCCCAGCCGCACGTCAACTGTTTGCCGCTTGCCCACTTTCTTGCAATGCTGTCCGGTGCCGGCAGTGGATGTCGTACCATTCCTTCAAGGTCAGGAAGAGCCAACAAGCGAAAATGAAGAAAGGGGTCAATGAAAGGTCCGAGAAATTCTAAGAAGGAATCCAAGGCATCAAGTGCAAATGCAAAAAACAGTATACAGCTACAAGGTACAGTAACCTTTTGGCAGTTTCCACACCTCATCGTTCTTGCTCTCAACTGGGAAGCAAGCCCGAAGAGTGGCAAAGTCACGGTCAACATACCTCTCCAATGCACTGCGGATTTGCTTTTGCCAAGGAAGACTTTGTATGGCCGAAGCTACACTAATCACAATGCCTTGGTGGTCCAGTAGCAAAGCTTTGTACATCTGCATGTTCATCGTGGACCTCAAGCGCCAAGGACTGAGCAAAACAGAAGAGAAGGAGCACAAGTTTGACAATCGATGGATCCAATAGATGCTGGGAAGTTGGGGGTCCCCTGTCTATAATGATGGCCTCCGAAGCTTCCTCTATTCTAAGACACAAGTATCACCTGCCAGACATGTATCACTTTGGCAGGTGCTTGGACAAAAGAAAATAGGGCACAACCCTAAGCTCATTGCAAGACAAAGGCGGCGGCAAAGGCTCGTCGCATCACCTGCGAGCCGGGATTCCATATCTAAAAAAGGTAATGCAGCGATGCAATTGAAAATCCAAAGAATCTCGTCAAAATGCCGAACCCTCTACGCTTCCCAGACTATTTTTCACAACACCAAATATCTGGTCAATGTACAAGTCTCACAAAGTCACTAGCGGTCTTGCTTTTCGCTTCTCACCTAGAAAGAAAACTTGAGCAGTACTTGCTTGGCACATAGACAGGCAAGCTCCCAGACAATTGCCTTGGCTTATCCAAGACTTCCCTGAAAGTCCCACGGCATCCTTCAGGCAAATCAGACTCTGTGTGTTCTACACACAAAGAGTTGGCCTCACCAAATTCACCAGCATGAGTCAAAGGCCTCAAGAAGGCGAAGGAAACACAAACGTCAAGAAGACCGCCTGTTGGTCGATTCATTTTGAACATAGTTGGGGGTAGGTTTTGTTTCGATAAGGGAAGTAGCTTCAGGTACGATATGCGTGTTAGTCACTAGCTACTAAGTTACTACAGTAACTTGCAATGATACAGAAAGAGCTCTTGCAGTACGAAATGCTGTCTTGATTTGAAGATAACTTTGACAGGTGTCCAATCTTGCTTTCAGAAGTTGAGAGGGCCTTCCATGTTCGTCCAGAAGGTGCTTTGCCTTGTGGTGGCTCTGGGGGACTACCTGCGGATACTTGTGTCAAAAAGAATCAAATGAATCAAACGGCCCAACTCTTGTGCCTTGAATTCTTCGTAGCCTTGTGCTGCTGCCTGGAACTGAGCAGTTCAAGAAAACTTGGACCTCTGGGAGCTCCAGCTCCATAGCCTGCTCCAAGTAGGTCAAGCTGTTGAGTTCCTTGCACCGATCTCTTCTGCGTTCCAAGTACATTTTATGTGAACATAGATGTCCCCTAAAAATCTAGAAACCAAATCATTAGTGCGAGCGCTTCTTCAAGGAAGCTTCCCCTGCCGCCTTTGAAGCGTGAGCTATCCTGCGTCCATACTAGTAGCTACTTGTTAGCCAATAGCTACCTCTCTCTACTAGCTACCGACTCCCTAGCTAACCTACCTCACCTCTACTAGCGACATCCCCCCCTTCCTTACAAAAAGAAAAGAACACACACATACTTACAGTCCAGATCCGCTCCCAGCCTCCCCGTTTCAGAGTTTCTAGTCTTTTGCCAAGGATCGAAAGAAAGAAACGGTGGCTTTGATGATAGCTTCGACAACTGACAGGATTCTTCAAACTACATTGATCGAAACGAACCAGTGGTCTAAATACACACACTTATGGATATGCGTACTGACTCGACAGCGGTGCCACACGCCGGCCTGAGTGAAAAACCTAAGGAACCAGGACAGGTGTCAGTAAGTGGTGCCCTTACTGCAAGGTTGGAGGCCAGCAAGACTCAAAACACGAAAAGCGAGTAGCGATTAGTAACAGAACCACATGAACCACCATGAAAGCAAACCACAGCGAGAACAACAGGTAACCAGTTTGGCAAGTACGTTTGCACGGACCCCAGAGGAGAGGTCTTCGTTAACCACCGCTCCTCTGGGGCCCCGGTGGCCCCCTGCTCAAACATGAAAACTGAAAACGGAGTCAAAAGTACAATCCAAACGGATCCCTGTGACTACAAGGGGCACACACACACGCCTCCCCAAAAGGGAGGCACATTTTGCTAAGCGCCAAGCCGGAAGGTTAGGTGAGACTAATTAAATTGTCGAAGTGCTCGGTAGGTCTGATAGGCCGTCAGAGGGAGTCGTAGTTGGCGAACGAACGAACGAACGAACGAACGAACGAACAGTAAAGCTGTCATAGTCCGGTGTGGAGGTAATCGTAGTCGAAGAAGATGGAGGACGGGGTGGAGGACGGGGTGGGGGGAATACGATGATCTCGAAAGGAAGTGGTACCACATAGTTCAGCCTCCAATTGTTTGGTGTCGGAGTTCAAAGTGTGAATCAATCCAAATGTAGTTATCAACTCATGGGTGTAATGAAGAGCGGTGTGTGGCTTGGGTCGCTTGCCGAATTGCAGAATCAAGTCCTCGAAGTTGTATCTGAAGATGAGGAGAAGTAACACGCTCCATGTAGGGAGGGGAAAGGATTGCGATTCGAACGAACGAACGAACGAACGAACGAACGAACGATCGAACGATCGAACGATCGAACGATCGAACGAGTGCGAAGAAGGGTAAGGGTGAGGTCCAGAAAGGCATGTACATGAAGAATCTCTCGATGTAGTATTGCCTGAGGCATCATCGGGATGCCCTCCATCGGCGCCAGGCCAGCGGGTGAGGGAGACATGGCAGGAAAAGGAGGGAAAAGGAGGGAAGGTGCTCATCGCTCTGAAATGCTAAGTCGCCGACAGGTTCCAATGAACCTTAAACTTGCTTTGACCGCTATGGTCACCTTGTGCTGCCAAAATGGCTGGCTGCTTTGACCGCTGCGGTCACGTAAAGGCATGCGCCAACTTAGAATTCCAAAAATGAGACAAACATCCCACTTCTTGTGGCGTAAGCCATCTGCTGTCCGCTTCGGACACTTACATCTCCGGGCAGGGGAGATAACGACAAACCCCCGTTCGACGGGTCTACGGGAGGCACTCTGCGGGCTCATCCCGGGTTGGCACGAGGCCACTTATGGATACGCATACTGACTCGACAGCGGTGCCACACGCGGGCCTGAGTGAAAAACCTAAGGAACCAGGACAGGTGTCAGTAAGTGGAGGCCCTTACTGCAAGGTTGGAGGCCAGCAAGACTCAAAACACGAAAAGCGGGTAGCGATTAGTAACAGAACCACATGAACCACCATGAAAGCAAACCACAGCGAGAACAACAGGTAACCAGTTTGGCAGGTACGTTTGCACGGACCGCAGAGGAGGTCTTCGTTGGCCACCGCTCCTCTGGGGCCCCGGTGGCCCCCTGCTCAAACATGAAAACTGAAAACGGAGTCAAAAGTACAATCCAAACGGATCCCTGTGACTACAAGGGGCACACACTCATGGATACGCGTACTGACTTGATTGCGGTGCCACACGCCGGCCTAAGAGACCCAAATCCTGAAAAACCAGGTGAAGGGGACCAGAGTTCCTGTAGTTAAAGGCCACGAACCGACGAGGCGACAGGTTGACGGCGTTCCGTGCATGTCTGCAGCTATTGAGGTCCTGGGCTTAGCCTCATGCCATTCAGTACAAGGAAAAAGCAGGTACGTGAGTCAGGCGTCCCTGACTCATATCACAGGAAATCCATGGTGTCTTCGTTGGATGCCGACCATGGAAATCCCCGGCATCCCCCTGCTGAAAATTCAAAGCGAAAATAAAGCGAAACAATCCGAAAGGATCCCTGTGATTCCAAGGGTTACACACACACACCTCCCCGAGGGGAGGCATTCCTTCTCAACTAAGCTCCGGACGATGGTGGGTTCTCCCAAGCAGCGCAGGCGCCGGCGGAGATCTGCGGTCAGGTTGTTGGAACCGGGAAAAGGAGAGCCAGTAGTGCCGACTGTTAGGCGCCTCCCCCTCATCCCCACCACCAGCCGTTTTCACCTCCAAGTGACCTGCTTCTTCTGTGCTTGAAGAGACCCTGCACTCGAAGATGCCCTTGAATCTGTCGCGCAGCTATCACTACTCACATGCATAGATCCAAAAAAAGCTGGATCTTCGTGACAGGGGTACTCCCAAGCAGTGCCGGCGCCGGCGCAGGTGTGGGGTCAGGTTGTTCACATGTAGCGCCGGCTCGCCGAGTGGCGCGCCGAAGGTGTCCATGTAGGAAACCACGTCCATCCAGAGGGCGGCGGTGTGTTTGGTCCAAGGTCAGAGACGAGAGCGTAGAGCTCCGAGAGGAGGTAGTCCAAGGTGTAGAGGTAGAGGAACCGGAAACAAGGGGGTGAGAAAGTGGGAACAGAAAAAGGAGAGCGAGCAGTGAGGCCGTCGGGCATGAGCCACCGCACCGACTG